TGGAGGGTCCCTTTGATGGTGAATCGCAGAGAATTTTGTATGTTATAGCTGGAGGGTCCCCCCGTAGGTGGTGAATCGCTGCTTTGTATTATTATTTATTATTGGCTGTACGAGCCCGTTTATTATTTGTAAGAAAACTTTAAATTATATACTTTGTTTTCCAAAAAAAAAATTTGTTTATATATTTCTAAATTATTAATTTTCGAAAATGTTCTTTTCCTTTTTTTTTATATATTCTTAGTTATTAAATTTAAATAACTTAACTTATTCATTACATAGATATCAGCTTCGCTTCCATGGCCGGTGACCGTGCAGTTATCCTTTTTCCGATACCAGAAAGTCAGTTCCGCTGCTTGCTTTCCGTACTGCTTATGGTACTTTTGTGAGTTGCTTTCCGTACTGCTTATGGTACTTTTGTGAGTTGCTTTCCGTACTGCTTATGGTGCTTTGTGAGTTGCTTGTTTAACACATTGCTCAAGCGCGAGTTATCGGGCTTTTATTAGAGCTCCGAAAAAAAAAAGTTATTTTATTTAATTGGGTCCGTATGACCTTCTTTATTAAACTGTTAATTGCAACTGATTTTACATTTTATACATAAGCTAAAAAGTAACCTTAATCTACCTGTCCCGTAACTTGCAGTTCTGTGGAATTGCATCTTTGCGGTTCGAGGCGGGTGTTCGCTTCCTGTTATTGACGAACATATTAGTGTCAGCTATAACTTTATTTCTGATTGCGAAATATTAGCTCAGCTATAATTATGAATATGTTTCGTGTTAACTTATATGTATATGTATGTATAAAATATTAAGGCAACTTATGGGTCAATTTAAGAAAATAATAAAATTTAAAATCAAAGAAAGTAATAAAGTTTAAAATCAAAGAAAGTGGGAAGTGAACAAAAGGAAGAAAACAAAAAGTTAAGTAGGGGTGGTGGCGTTTGATGCAGATATGGTTTTAAAAATGCGCTTTTTCTGCATTCGGATGGCCTTGCGTAGGTTGTCCTCTGCATTTTCGACCTTCGGGAGTTGAGAAACTGAATCTATTTTACGGAAGAAACATGTATGTATGTACATAAGTATACGGTGCTTCATTATTGAAACTTGCG